AGCAACATGGAAGCTGAAGCTCCCAAGCCCTTTTTTTTTTTTTGGCTGGTTTCTCCCTGCATTTTACTTTGGTAGGAAGTCCGTTCTGTCCGAGAACTTCCTAGTGGGAGATATGACATTTCAGGGTCCCCTCTCTGAGGGCGTCTCTCTTTCCACTGAGTGTAAGGCTTCCCCAAGAAAAATCCAGTAGCATTTAGATCTGGGCTTTGGATCAATGTGAAAGTTATCTCCAGTTCTAGCGGGTATCCAAAGCTCATGGTTATGAGAAGAGTAAGATCCTTAGAGCATGGCTGCACTCAGGAAAGGGCCTGAAACAGGGTTACATTTACTCTCCGAGCAACCTGAAGCACATTTGCTCGCTCCACTAGGGACAAAAAGTTGGTTGGAAAGCTCTGCGCGTGCCCCGATGCTGCAGATGGGGTCAGATCATTAATTCGGGGTCATTCATTTGGGTGCTGCAGATCATTAATTTGGTTAATCTCATTAACTGCCAAGGATGAATCCAGATTCTTCTCCCATACCCGCATTGGCTCTGCCACGCCAACGGGAAAGTAAAACAGTGAAAGGGTTGTATGAAAACACGGTTGCTCCCATGAACACCTCCACCGCAAGGACACTCTGGGAGCCGATATCTGATATGGTTCCCCTTTAATAATCCTATGCCTGACTTCAATCCTAGCCTTCTTTTTGGGCAGAAGAAAAACCCAATAGTTAGCAGTAGCCTGATCTTGAAAAACTTGGGAAATGGATCCTTTAACTTTCTCTATGGAAAACAGGAAACAGACACCAGATATTCTTTTCCACCCAATGAAAAACTGGCAGAAATCTCGATTTGCAATAAAAATAAATGAATAAACTGATCGAAGACAAAACTCTCTCGCTACGTCACCAGCAACCCTAGGTTTGGCAGGTTGTCTCCTCTGCGAGCTCCCTCTGGTTTTACTAATAGTGACCCATTTATGCTAAAGAAGAGCATTCCCAGTTGAAAGGAAAGGAGAATTCTGCATCGTCCAATGTTTGCCAGGATCCCCCAACTTGGGACCAGACCGCAGTCACGGCAAACAGACAACCATCACAAAATGACTGGAAGAAAACAACGGCAGGAAGTCAAAGGACTTGCTGAAATCAAGACACACACACACAAAAAAAAGCCATACTCATTTCCCAAACTGCATCACTGACCTCACAAAAGGCAGCCCTCTCCCAGGCAGATGGGACGCGTCTCCCCACCACCATGCACTCTGCGGTCCCCACACCATCCTTTTCTTTAGTGGGCTTCCAAAATGGTGACGCATGGATTTAATACGCTGGCGGATCAAAGTGCCCCTTTGTGACAGCTCATACTTCAGGAGCTAAAGCAGGGACGCAGCCCAGTGCTGGCCCAAATACATACCCTGCTGGCTTCCTGCAAGAGATGTTTTTTCTTTCTATCACCTCGTGCACGTCCCAGCATGCGGCTAATGGAACAAAACCGACAACAGCAAAGCGGGATATTCCAACCCGCTTCCACGCTGGACCTCTCTCAATCACACCTCTCTCATGATAGCAGCGAAGTTGCATTTCCAGAGCTCATCACCACGGGACGCAGAGGTTTCATAGAAATTTCAATGACATTTTTTCTAAAAAAAACGCCCAACGTTACCCAGCAAACCCTGCCCCGCTGCGCCCCGACTTGCGCCGCCGACGTCCTAAGAAGCGACGTTCGGCAGCAGAATGAAAACAAATGATACGTACTAAGCTGTCCTGGATGTCTTTGAATGGCAGAAGCATTGTGCGGGCCCGAGACACAGGCAGAAGTCAGTAAAACCAAAAAGATTCATAACCCACTGTTCAACTCACATCCTTTTGCTTCTAAAGCCTTAAAAAAAAATTAAAAAAAGAAGGGGGTAAAAAAAAGGGTGGATTGTATGTTCTACGAGGAGCAGAGAAATCTCATCTGTTGATGCTACCCAGGAACTGGATGACTTTTACAGAACGTCGTGTCTTCCACTGATATTCTGGCTTGAAAAAGCACTTGTTCTAACATATCCTGATGAAAGAGGGCCATTCAAACAGGGGGAAAAAAACCAGCTGAAGCTCATCTAATCATTCCCCTCCTACAAGCTCCCCCCCCCCTTGCATGTTCTGAAAGCAATGCAGCGCAGATCAGAGAGGGTAAAGCAAAACAGCTGTGCTCCCAGTCAAGTCCATATTCATTTGGACATGACTAGATAAAAGTGACACGCTGATGGATGACTGTTTTTAATAACTAAACACTGCATACCATGATGGAAAGGTAGGGCCGAGAAGAGGGCTCCATTTCAAGCCAAACCACTTCCTTGCTTGTGGCGCGGCCACGTTTTGGCTCACTCTGTTCCAAAGTGACTCGCTGGCAACTGATTCCCCATGAACATGAAGTCTTTTGGGCCATCTAGTGTGTTAGGGACTGCTTTTAACCACAATCACTGAAGGCAGCTTCTTAGAGAGCCTTCACCTAATTCTGCCCAAGACCTTTCTAATGGCAGGACTCATCGTCACATGCTACAGCGAGTGAGAACCACCACAATGCCTCTAGTCATTGTTTTTTGCCCTTCTCAACCCTCCCAATTAGCAAATGCCATAAAAATAAATTCCTGGTGAGGGGGATTTTTACCAATCGGGTCACTTTACATGAGCAAACGACTCAAGAATAAAGGCAATGCCAAAGTTACAACAGGACACACGTGATCACTCAGAAGCAGGATGCATTTAGCGAGAGACATAAGATTTGCTCAGCTCTGCCACTGACCTCCCGGGTGACCCTAGCCAAGTCCCTTGACTGCACTAGGACTGTACAGGGGATAATGTTATCCACCTCCTCACAGAAGCATAAGGCTATATTCATGAGCACATGGAAGCCTCTTTGAAATCCTCAGAGGGAGAGAGTACAGGCAAGTAACAGGACAGTTGATAAGCTCCCCCCTCCCAAAGGTTTCCCCAGCAAATAAATTGACGCTGTATTCTGTGATAACTGGAGGGTCTCTGAATTTACAGTGTTAAGTCAATTAAGTTATTTTAGACCTGCCCGAGAGCAGGCTCGGGGGCTTACGGCTTCCAGTTTTATCTGCTCTTCCTCCACGCTCTCTGTTACGTAGAGCAATACATCTCTGCCTACATCGAACCACTTTTGTGGTGGCTCGCAAGTGTGATCAATCCATGCGGCAGACAGAGAAACCGAGGCTCCCAAAAAAGAACTGGGTGTATAACGCAAGACCATAACACAAGCCAGGCCCAGTTTCTCCTGACTCACTGCCCGCTGCCCCATCTTCTGGCCCACACAGCCAGACTGCTAATGGAAAGCGCTCCCTCTGGTTAGATAAAGTTACAGCCCGAGGATGTGGCTGCAGACGCGCTTCAATTAGGTCTCGGTCACTTAAGAAAAGATAATCTGCAATGCCTTTTGATCAAATCAGAAGCCCTCCCTGTGTGCACGGACGGACGCGGGAGGACGAGCAGCCTCAGTCTGCTGAAAGAGCCTATTCTTGGATCATATGACCAACTGCATGGGCTGCTGGGCGAGCAGCCGGACCCAAATCCACAGCAGCGTCTTTGCAGGGGTCTGGCTCAGGCTGTGGTGCAGACTGGGCATGGAAACTGCCTGCCGGAGGCATTCCAGCTCTCTTTCCACGGGGAAATTGTACCGCCTGGTAAAGTTGTGCATTACAAGGTAGAGCAAAACATCGTATTACTGCAGGGACTCATCCTTTCACGGCAGAGCAGATGCCTGTATGTGGAAGTTGGTGCAGAGGTCACTGCATTCACTAGGAAAATGCAGCCGCGTCCAGCAGAGACGGTAGCAGCTGCCTAACCCTTGAAGACAAGAAGTTAGAAAGCTATACCCAACAGGAGTTGAGAAGGCAAGACCGTCACCAGGGTACCTTGTTAAAAGTGTCACAGGATCTCCAGTGCTGCTGATGGTCCAGGCAGTGGCTGTTCTGATTCACCCCGATAAAACACCTTCGTGACATCATGGTGCCTGCTGGGCCGTGATGGGCTCTGTGCGGCGCTGATCGCACTGGATGAGTGCATGGAGCACAGCCACGCTGTGGCTTCCCTCGCCCACTGCTCAAGCCCACTTGTTCCTCACAAGCACAAGGCAGATGCCAAGCTCTCTTCCACTTCCTCAATCTGCCCCATCAAAGCAGCCGCCGGTGCCTCCTGGCTGTGCACGTGGCTCCTTCCCCCTGCGGCAGGGAAGCTTCCCAGAGTGTATTCGCCCCACCCGGGGCGGCTGCCACTCACCTCCATTCAAGGCACTGCTGGACCCCCAGGCAGAGCTCGCCCCTTGTCCTTACATACCACGTGAGGATGTGCTTGCAGCCCCCAGCACTGAAGCTGTGCCCTTGAGTTTCCAAGCTCCAAGAGGTCAACATACCTGCTGTCCCACTGGCCTTAGGAGAATGGTGCTCTCTCCGTTTTCTGTTCAGTCCTGTTGCCCACTCACAAAAGCCACCGCCACTCCTGGCCCTGAGGAAATGGCTGACAAGTGAGCCCTTTCGCTAGCTTCCCCTGCCACGCTCCATGGATGTGACTTACAGCCAGGGCTCCTCCACACCCCCATGGGCCTGGGCACAAACCCCCAGGGCAAGGCAAGCGTGGCAGCCAGGCAAGTCACAGGGCCATCTTGCCGCACTCGTGAACCAGCAAAGCGTTACATGGAGTGAAAGGGAAGGTTCGAGGAAGGAAACCCTGGGAAGACAAAGCTGCTGCAACACAGCACTTCCTGCTTCTCCAGCCAAGGGGACAAAACTCACGGGCCCGGTCTGCTTGCTTTGGCTCGGTATGAGACACATTGGTGTACACTTCCTGCCCGAGAGAGAGGGGCCTTGGAAGGGGTTCTGAGCCACACGACAGGGCCTGCGGAAACCGGCTGGAATAGCTCCTTGTTCGCAGGCTGAGAAACAGGCACCAGGACCCAGTAACCCCCAGCAGGCGATGCCTCCACTTATCCCACTTCTAACAAGCCTACCACAGCCTCGGCATGCTCCATGCAGCCCACAACAGTGCCTCGGGCCTTGAGAAAGCCTCACAGGTCGCAGAAATGGAAATGAAATAGAATCTCCTTCACAAAGCAATCGGACAGCCCAGCAGGGCCAAGGGCAACCCAAGTGCCACAGGCCACAGGCATCCTTAGGGCCATGCAAAGACCTGGTTGAATTCCCCAGAGCAGCAAGACTGGGAGCACCCTCAGGGGACCAGCCTTGCATTGCCCTGCCCTGCTCACAAGAGAGATCCCATCATGGAAACATGAGCACCCTCACACGTGCTGGCAATCTGCCACCACGGCCCTCATTTCTGACACCCTAGGCACCCAATGGACATCAGTGAGAGCTGCCAGTGCTTGGCATCTCAACCAGACCGGGCACCCGCAACTGGGGGAGGCTTTTGAGGCTATTTCACTGCAAGGTCCTGAGGGTGGACACTCTTCCTGCTCCTTTGGCTGCATCTGGGATGGCTTCAGTGGGCTACCAAGCCAGTCCCACCCCAACCACCTGGGCTGAAGACACATGGACACAGGGCTGGAGGCATGAGCTGCTAACAGCAGCAAAGGCAAACCTGTGTCAGAGAAAGCCCTCTCGAAAGAAAGAGGATGCTGGAAACATGTTCCTACCTACACTGACCAGGCCCCATCAGTGCAACCCTAGAGCACTCTGCTTCTCAGAGGCAGATGGACAACACCTGAGGCAGCCCTGGGGTTTCCTGCCCTATCTCCATGAGCAGCTAAAGCAACTGCCTGGTGCATTTCAAATGGAAAAAATAAAAAAGAGAGAAGTGGGGTTAGCAAGCAAGACATGCTGGCAGGCTTCCCTCTAAATGTTTTTAGCCCCCCAGGAACAAAAGGAGCTTCTGAGCAGGCATTGTTTGGCGGGGAGGCGTGGGCTACATTTCAGAGCGCAGGGATGCTCCGCCGTGCTGCACACACTGCAGGCCATTCACAGCGCCGGGGCCTAGTGCTGCCTCGGCACAAAGAGGAACCAAAGAAAGGGAATCCATCACAGAGCCCACGGGAGCCAACTTCCCGCATAAACAGACTGCTAATGACAGGGCTGCTGTCAGGCCCGGGAGCCTGGAGATGGCTACAGCACGGCGTGCAGCTTGCGCCCCCAGCTTTAGGCTCCAGACTCCAAGATCCACTGTGGAGCCAGGAGCAGCCAGCACATCCAGGAGGGTGCCCTACGCAGGTGTGGCACAAAGCGACTAGCTCCCAGGTTCCACGCGCAGCCCTCCGCTCCGTCTGAGAAGCTGCCATGCTGGCCATGTGCAACAACAGGCCAAAGTCAACACGCTGAAACGGACAAAGAGCAATCAGGTTCCCCGCTGCCCAAGGCGCCCTGCCCTGATTGTACCCCTCATCCTTCCTGGAGAGCCCAGGGCTGGCACAGAGGGGAAGGAGGTACATCACCAGGCAGTGCTGGGGCAGCCCCTGGGGCCAGAGCTGCACTGACGAGAATAAGGGAAGGCAGGGAAAGGGAAAAGAAATAGCAGAAACCCCATAGGGAGAAACTCCAGAGACAGAACCACTTGGCAGGGCAGCTCCAAACAGCAGCAGGAGAGAAATTTTTAGGAATCCCATTCGTTTTAGTGGGTAAGAAGCCAAAGGACACGACAGACCGTGCCAGGAGAAAACACGACTCGCTGCGCTCAGCCCAGGGGTCAAAAAGGCACGAGGGCTCTACGCCTGAAGCCAACGTTTCTAATTGCGATCAGCATTTCTGGGATGCCTGCTGAAGGAGTGACGGCATCCGTGACACCCACTGCCTCAAGAGCCCGGGGTCGTGGGGCTTAAAAGTCTCAGCTGCATTCATACGCAGTGAACAAGCGAGAGCTTTGCTTCAGCAGTTTTTAAATATGAGCCCTGGAGAAGATCTTTACTGTCCATGCTTATGGACTGTGGCTCTGGCCGTCTGAAAAGCGCCAGCATTTGAGCAGGCGTGTGAGAGTGCAACTGGGAAACCGGACTCCTGGGTTGTGAACTGGGGTGCTGGCACTCCTGCAAGTGCCGAACACGTGGGACCAGAGCCGTGTCGTTTTACTCTGTGCTGCTCTCTTTATCGCCGAGCACCTGTTCTGCAGAGGGCTGGCGAGTCCCACAGTGCTGACTGCCCGCATCGTTTTCTGATGACTGAAGAGATGCTCGGTGCTTTCCTAGAGCGGCTTTTGCCCTGTAAGCAATTGCTGCCATTGCCACAGGGCTATGTGACCGCACGTGGGAGGGAGGGAAGGTCACATAACCCAGGGCCAGGAGCTGGTCCATGAGAGCATCTTTGTGGTCCGTGCCGCAGAAAGGCGTGGATTGCCAGCCCGGAGCAGGCAGTGCCATGTGCTCACCCCTCAAAGCCAGCCCACGCAGCCCGGCTCCAGTCCACACTCTCAGGCGAGCTGTCAGGACTCATGACCTGAATCCTTTCAACTGTCTTATTAGGTCACCCAAGCTGCCTTGTCCCTCACCAGAATACAGCAGGTACCTCTGATGTGTGTGCGTGGGTGAGGTCAGGCTGGTGGGCAAGAAAAAGCGGGTGAAAAGAGGTTTATAACAAGTAAGGAACAAGCGTTTCCCCCCTACGCAGAGGTCAGCCAGGACACAGATGCAGGGCAAAGAGAGTGGAAAACCCTGGTGACACATGCGGTGGCCCAGCGAGAAAGCACCCAGCTGCCGGCTCGGAGAACGATTCCAAAAAAGGCAGCAGAGGCTGCGGAGTGCTCGACACATGGGTGATGTGTAAAAAAAGAGAGAGATTAAAAAAAAAAAAAAAAAAACCACAGCAAAAGCTAAAAAAAGGCTGAGAGGCCCCGTGTGCCCTCTGGCGGCTCCCTGCAGTATGGGCCTGCCTTCCCAGCCCAGGGGGCGAGGCCCCCCGGGTCACCTCCCATGTCAGACACCCGCTGAGACTTGCACCAGCACCCCTGGGAGAAGGGCGCCTCTCGTGAGAACGGGGCTGGCACCCATGCACAGATCTGGCTCTAAGTGGGGAGGTGAGCTGCGGAGGGCACCCCTGGGACTGGGGCAGACAGACAAGCTGGGCCCTTTCCAGAAAGGATGCGAAGGGGACGTTGTTGTCAAGCTTGCTGCGTTCCTGGAGCATCACAACCTGCGCTAACCTCCATGTGCTAATCCCACAGCAGCTGCCTTCGCCTGGGGCCTTTCTAGGAAGGTGTTCTTCAGGAAAAAGAGCCCAGAGGGGCTGCTCTGATCTCAGCCAGGCTGTCCATGTAGGAAGGGCAGCATGCAGCCACTGCAAGGAGATGTGATGCTCCCAGCAGGCCTGATACACCCCCAAGGCAAAGCAAGGCCACAGCCAAGTCTCTGAAGGGATCCTCCACTCCATAGCCAGTGATCTTCCTCGCTGCTGCTCTCCTTGTTCAGCCCAGCTCTGTGTTAGAAGGAATCAAGCTTCAGCCTAATTCAATCCCCCGCCTGGTTACTCCCCTGGCACCTCACAGCAACTGTCAGCACTGGGCTTACACTGGAGTCCCTCACCGTGGCTTCAAGCCTGCACAGTGCCCGAGTACATCCCCTGTTCATGGCAGCAGAGGCAGAGCTGGCAAGGGGTGCCCTCTGCACTACAGAGGGGGTTGGAGGAGAGGCCCAAAGCTGAGCTTCTGCCTGGGATCTCCGAGGGCCTCAATGGAGCGGATGGATGCGATGGGGTGGGAGCACCTTCCTCTTTAACACGCCGGGCTGACTTTTATTGGGTGTGAGTGCCGTGCTGGATTCATGCGTGGGCTGCAGCAGAGCTCGAGTGCCCGGAGGCCTCTCTACATCTACACAAGGTCTGGAGGGGCAGCTCGCGCCTTTGCTGCATTTCAGCCCTGCTGGAGGCTGGGCCGGTCTCCAGTCCATGTTGTGTCTAAGGCTGCGTGGGAGCCCAGCAGTTTCAAACACAGCAGATGGGTGTTTGAATCCAGTCCGAGGTGGGGAAATAAACCCCAAAGACCTTTCCTCCTGTGAAGTAAAGCAAGATCCATGAAGACATCTCAGGCCTCTCAGGTTCTCATCACATCCATAAAACACCGATTGCCAGGCATGTCCCAGGCTCTGTACAAGGAAACCCTGGGGAGGTGGCCCGGGGTCTGCAAAGATGTTTGCCACCCAGTTCCCCTCCAGCAGAGCCAGGTGTCTTTGATGAAGGGGGGCAGTATCATGTGTTGTGTTGACAGGCTTCAGGAACAAAGCGAGGGATCCCAGGATGCCCCTTGCCCTGCCCACCCACTGGGTGGGCACCCGCTCAGCCCCTGCCCACAGAAGAAGGTGCCAGCTCCCAAAGCACCGATAAAGCTCACACCCCCCACACACACTAAGCCACACAGATGCAAAAGCCTCATTCAAAACCTGCCAGTTTCCAAGGGGACACCCAAGGGGGGCAGCAAGTCACGAGTGCTCAGAGGCTGGCATTGTATGGAGCTCGCTAGGGCAGGATGCCACAGCCTGGCCAGGATGTGATTCAGCGTCCTGTTTTGAACGGTTCATGCAGTCAGCAACTTCTGCCTCCGGAGCTCACGCCACTGGCCTCCAAGACAACACTGGAGCAGTGGGGCTGGATGGGTGCACAGCAGCGTGATCACTCGAGAAACACCACCTTCTCCAAGCAGCTGTCTTGATTTCCATTGCTGGCACCTTCCCCAGACCACAGCTCAGGACCAGCCATTAAAACACAACTGCTTTAATTCCCTGTAACGTGAATGGATGCCCCAAATAGCTAGAATCCCCCCCACAAAAAAAATTAGGCCTAAAATTATAAAGAAGGTGGGACTGCAAAAATACACAGGTCTCTGCATTACAAGAATGATATACCGTTATCCCCAAGATGTGCCGGCAATGCCAAAAAAGGAGCACAGGACCTGACTGCAGGGCTGAGATGAAGCTGACAAGTCTCTCGGTGCCCAGGCTGAAGGAAAACCATGCAGCAGCAGTGCCGAGAAGCAACTGGATGGTTCATAGTATCATAGTACTTAGGGTCGGAAGGGACCTAAACAGATCATCAGGTCCGACCCCCTGCCCCGGGCAGGAACGGGTGCCGGGATCATATCACCCCAGCCAAATATCTGTCCAGCCTCCTCTTGAAGACCCCCAAGCTAGGAGACAGCACCACCTCCCTTGGGAGCCCACTCCAGAGCCTGGCAGCCCTAACTGTAAAGTAATGTCTCCTGATGTCCAGCCTGAACCTGCTCTCTAACAATTTGTGGTCGCTATTCCTAGTAACCCCCAGTGGTGCCCAGGGGACCAGAGCCTCCCCCAATTCCCTCTAGGCCTCCCTGGTGAGTTTGTAAACAGCCACCAGATCCCCTCAGCCTTCTCTTGTGGAGGCCGAATAGGTTCAAGCCCTTTAGCC